TGTTAGATGACTTCCAGCTGCCAGATTTAGAGTTCACTTTAGACGCTTCTGGCCTGAATTCAAGCTGATGAATCAGAGATATATAGATTTAGGCTTTGGCATCGGCTTCCTTGACATCTCAAAATCCTTTCAGAACTCTTTTATCTTACTTTCTACAGAATTTTAATATAAATTGGTATATTTTGAAAAAATGTAATGTGAGTATCTTAGGGGTTGTGAGGAGGCACATGAAATACCAGATATTTCTGTTCGTGGGAGCCTTAGACTCATTCCAACCGATCAACCAACACGTGTTTATGGAGAACCTGTTATCGACTGGGATTATCTGGTGAGTAAGACAAGTATTTGCCCCCACGAAATTTACCTCTTATGGTGAGAATTAGGTAGTAAACGTGTAAACAAATACGTAAGCTAGATACTTTTCGGTAGCGTTAAGTGTTAACACGAACCCGTCGGAGTTCCTGGTAGCAAACAACACAGATTGGACGAGTATGAGGCGGCTCGCAGAATCAGCTGGAAGACTTGGTCAGCAACAGAGACGGGCAGGTGCAGCCCAGGTGCTGTTCTAGGACAACGAGCAGAGGACGCCCCTGCAGGTGGCTCTCTCTGCCACACTGTGGGGCTGGACACTCGCCCCCACTGTACCCTCGACTCTGTACAACCCACACCGGCCTCTGGTGCGTCATCTCAGGCCCCCGTGGGTGCCGTCCCGATGATCGCGGCCTCGGCTGTGCGTGCTGGGGCATGCGCTCCTGTTCCAGCTCCCCGTGGACCAGAGAGAGAGCATCTCCTTCCCCCCGTGCCTTTGGCTTCCTTCCGCAGGAGATCTGGACGCTGGCAATGTCCCGCGACAGTTAGACGGTGATTGGAGGGGGTTTACGTAGTCTCCGGGGCCTCTCCAAGTGGGTAGCATTTGAGCAGAGTCCCAAGCAACGACAGGGGGTGTGGGGTGAACCTTCGGGGAATATTCCAACCCTAACGTCCAGACGGAAGGGAGCCCAGGAGAGAAAGAGACAGAGAGAGAGATGGGGACGCTGGTGGGAGAGTAGGTAGTAAGCAGGACGTGGATGGCAAGGCATGCATTTAGAGGCTTGCATGCGTGTTTTTTTTTTTTTAATGCAGGGCCTTGCGAATTCCAGCAAGAGGTTTAGCTTTTACTCCGTGTGTGGTGCCAACCGTTGGAGGTGTAGGTGTTACTTTATTTGGGAGGGAAACACTCACCAGAGGATGCTATGAGCCAAATCATGTTTCAACGAGACCACGATGGCCTCGTGCGGCAAGCAGGCTGTCCCAGCCGTCCAGGGAGGAGACGGTGGCAGCTCTAAGTAGGTGGCCAGAGGCGGGACGATGGGACGTGGTCAGCCCGCGGCACGGGCACACCTGGTCGGGGCTGGCGTGGGCGGTGAGGTGGAGCCAGTAGTCGAGTCTTCTCCTTACTGGGTTGAAATCACTGTTGCCCACTCAGGCGGAAATGCTGGCGGCCGCAGATGGGTCTGTGTGTGTGGAGTTAAGGGAGGGAGCTTGGTGACTCAGATTTAAGAGCCCTAACTGTGTAGATGGTATTTAAAGCCACGAATAGGATGATGTCACCAGGAAGAGAGCTCAGGCAGAGAGGAGGGATGGGGGAAGCACGCCGGCTTCCAGAGGCTGAAGAGGACGGTCCCCAGGGGCCCCAGAAGGAGTTCCTGCGACACAGGAGACAGGCTGAGCGGGGGGTCGCAGCCTGGGGAAGTACGTTTGTCCTCCACGTCGAGAGCACTGCTTTTAGCATAAAAGATGCAGGTCACGTGGCAGCATTTCGAAGAGGCATTCCACAAACATTTGGTATTTTTTAGGTCACGAAGTTGTTTTCCCTCCATAGATTTTATGTATTTATTTTTACATTGCATTTCTCTCCACAAAAGGATTTGAGGGAATTTGGTATAAACTGATATTTCTGATCACCTATTAAAGCAGACAATTAAGATGCAATGGAAAACAGAGGAAGCCAAATACTCTTTGTGCTGTTGTGCCGCGCCTGGTTGCCATGACTGAACACTCCATTTCCTCGGTCTCCCGGCAGCCGACGTCCAGAGGAACAGAAGAGGTTATATAATCATCTCCTTCAGATGCGGGGCACATTCCAGTGTTAGGGAGACAAAGGATTTCCTATACTAAATGCTAAAAAGGGAGTTTATTTTGAGAGCCATCACATACATAAAGATGAACAATATGCCCAAAATAAAAAAATAAAAACAAACCAACCTCAGTGCCTATTGTTATTTCATTCTAATGGAAGCTTTCTGAGGCAGTTCCCACTGTCATCCCCACTCTGTAGGCGACGGGGCTGAGGCCGGGAGCGGGTGGAGCACTGCCCCAAGTCGTGTAGATGAGCAGTGGTGGAGACAGGGTTAGAACTCAGTTCAGTCTCAGCCCAGGGAGTGGGGATTCTTGACCACCACGCTGCACTGCCACCACCCTGTATTGTCACCACGCTGCACTGCCACCACCTTGTATTGTCACCACATTGTACTGCCACCACCCTGTATTGTCACCACACTGCACTGCTACCACCCTGTATTGTCACCACCCTGTATTGTCACCACGCTGTACTGTCACCACGATGCACTGCTACCACCCTGTATTGTCACCACGCTGTACTGCCACCACCCTGTATTGTCACCACGCTGTACTGTCACCACGATGCACTGCTGCCACCCTGTATTGTCACCTTGTATTGTCACCATGCTGTACTGTCACCACCCTGTATTGTCACCACACTGTATTGTCACCACGCTGTACTGTCACCACCCTGTATTGTCACCACCCTGTATTGTCACCACGCTGTACTGTCACCACCCTGTATTGTCACCACGCTGTATTGTCACCATGCTGTATTGTCACCACCCTGTATTGTCACCACCCTGTATTGTCACCACGCTGTACTGTCACCACCCTGTATTGTCACCACACTGCACTGCTACCACCCTGTATTGTCACCACGCTGCACTGCCACCACCCTGTATTGTCACCACGCTGTACTGTCACCATGATGCACTGCTACCACCCTGTATTGTCACCACGCTGTACTGTCACCGCGCTGCACTGCCACCACCTTGTATTTTCACCACGCTGCACTGCTACCACCCTGTATTGTCATCACGTTGCACTGTCACTGCGCTGCACTGCCATCACCTTGTATTGTCACCATGCTGCACTGCTACCACCTTGTATTGTCACCATGCTGCACTGCTACCACCTTGTATTGTCACCATACTGCACTGCTACCACCTTGTATTGTCACCACACTGCACTGCCACCACGCTGTATTGTCACCACGCTGTACTGTCACCGCGCTGCACTGCCACCACCTTGTATTGTCACCACGCTGCACTGCCACCACCTTGTCACCACGCTGTACTGTCGCCACGATGCACTGCTACCACCCTGTATTGTCAACATGCTGCACTGCCACCACCCTGTATTGTCACCACGCTGCACTGTCACCACCCTGTATTGTCACCATGCTGTACTGTCACCACGCTGCACTGCCATCACCCTGTATTGTCACCATGCTGCACTGCCACCACTCTGTATTGTCACCATGCTTCACTGCCACCACCCTGTATTGTCACCACGCTGTACTGCCACCACGCTGCACTGCCACCACCCTGTATTGTCACCATGCTGCACTGCCACCATGCTGCACTGCCACCACACTGCACTGTCACCAGGCTGCACTCTCACCTGCTGGCCTGTCACCATGGTCTGCTGCCATTTCCGGCTGGAGCTGCCTTCATGAAGGCTCGGTTACAATTGCTAGCTGGATCTACAGCTAAATGATTACTGGTGTCCCATATTGAACTTCTCCCAAACTTTCACTCCTGGCCTTCTCAGACCTGTTCTTCGTACATCCTGGGTCATTGCCCCACAAGCCTGGAGGTCATCTCTGAATCCTCACACTGAGTGGTGTCTACAACGTTACCATCTCACTCCCTCACTGGAGCGTGAACTCTCTGAGGGTGGTGACCTGGGATTAGTACTTGTCTGTCGAATAAATAATATGATCACACGCCGAGTTGTGTGCCGCCCAGCACAGTGTGCGGTGTGGGGAGAATAAGGAGAGAGATGTTGGCAGAGGCGGTGGGTCGGATTTGTGGGTCCCTGTGTGCACGTCCCCCACCGCCCCTCCCTCCCCCTCCCCGCTCTGGCCACTGCTTCTCATCTTTCTGGTCTCAGACATTTCTATCCCTGGAGTGAAATAGCATAGTTTTCCCTGGAAATGCCTCTCTTTCCCAGGGGAGGCTTCTCTCACCACCCCTCCCACCCACCGCGTCTCCTCCGGCTCCTTCAGCTCTCCGCACTCGCCCTGCCTGGGCTCGTCGCTCTGTGCTCGATTTCTCTCTCCTGGCGTCCCACGTGCGAGGGAACACTCCTCAAGGGAGGATGGCTGGGCTTTGATACTCACCATCCGCTGGGTTGTGCTCTGTGAGCTGAGGCAGTGGGGAGAGTCCTCCCATGCGAGAGGGCGCGGAGACTGCAGCGCAGGGCAGGGCGAGGCACAGCGCCCTCCTGTAAGAAGAGAGCAGGGATGGCAGATGTCCCCACCACCATCTTCCCAAAGGACAAGTGGCCACTCTGGCAGAGGAATGAATAGGGCGAGGGTCCAGGGGACGTGGGCGTGAACAGGTGGACCTGGGACAGGTGCAGAAGGTGGAAGCAGAGGCCAAAGCTGAGGAGGAAGTGGGGGGCACCTAGAGACACACACACACTGTCCCTGGAGAAGTTTGGCATAAAGAAGAAAAAAGTGGGGCCATTTGCCAATTCCAAAATACTTCTGTATGGGCATCGTCATAATCTCATCGTGTATCCATTGAGTTATCCTTTGCTGGTCTGGTTTCAATTGATTTATGCACTCGAGACCATAAAACAAATAAAAACGAGGGCTTAAAATTTTATATTATTACATATTTGCCCCAGTTCATTTAAACTGGTGAAATTTTGTGATGCTTTCTTTTTAGGTTCCCTGCCGGGCATCTTTGACAGCAAGAGCCAAAAAGAACCAAGTCTATCAAAGTCTAATTGCTAACTGATATTCTATGTCACGTTGAGCATTTCAGTCTGTTGAAGAATAACAAGGAGCCGGTTTGGAGCAAAGCGCAGCGCTGCATTTATATAACACATCTCCAGTGTCAAGTTAGCGGGGTTCCCATCGACCCTTGGGCAATCGTTTACTTTTGTGGCTAAGTTAAGGCAGCGTGCTGAAGTTTCTACCATCTGGAAGACAGGAGACTTTATGTATGGTTTTACTAACAGATCCTAAAAGTGACCATGTTTCCTCCTGAGTCAAAACTCTTTAGCGTGGTCATGAGGTGCTGGAAGACGTGGTCTTTCCCATCTCAGTCTGAAATCCCGACGCTTGCCCGGCACCGAGAGCTTCAGCCACTCTGCACTGCGCAATGGAGCCTCCAGGTGCGGGCTGCTGCACCTCCCCGGGCCTGTGCCCGCGACCTTCCCTCCTGTCCTTACCTGTTTGGCTAATAACCTCCCACAAGGCGTGGTTCTGGTGGCACTTCCTATTCCAAGGGCTGCTTTCCCTTCCTTGGCCCCTCGCAGGTCCTGCTAGAGCGCTTAGCACGCGCTTGCTGTGATGCCCGGCTTGTGGGCCGCTCCTGCCAGACCGCAGGTCCTTGGCAGAGAGTTGTACTTTACCTGTCTCTGTTTCTCCTCCTCCTGGCGTGGCTCCTGAATTTAGCATATTAAATTATAACTTTGGATTGTTGATAATCTGAGGATGGTGGCTACTTTTTCACATCCAGAATGTTTTATTTTACAACCTGCATGATCGAAAATGGAATAAATCAATATTTCTTCAAAAGTTGGCAACAATGAGTGTTGAGTTAATATGACTCAGTGAGTGTTGAGTTACATTAATAACTCCAACTCTGATTTGAGTTATTAATATTCGGAAGGGTACCTCTTACTTTTGGTTTGTTTTTGTGTTCAGAACTGAGAAAATATTTTCTTTTAATTCCCCTTCTTCCAAATATGTGTCTCAGACTTTTTTTGGGAGAAACCCTTGTCTTCTGCAGCCCCGACAAAGGTTGGCCCTGACCTGGGCAAGAGCCAGGGAACAAGGAGAGAGGAAAGGATATTTACCAACTGTTAACTGCTCACCTGGAATCTTGCTACAGGAGTGATGTGCTTTTCTCTTAGTCTCACTTTTTATGTGGCAGTGAGCTGTGTATATGTAATATGCCTGGGGGGATATGGAAAGGATGAATGCATTTCATGTGGGTATCTAAAATTGTCATCGAGCACGAGCAGGCATAGCACGTACTGAACACTGCATGAGGACTTCTACATGAAATGAAAAATTGTGGGTATACTGGTCCTCTCTGCTTTATTTTTTATTATTTTATTTATGCAGCTCAGGTACCTAGAACTTTATTGCAGAGGATTTTCAGATATCTAGAAATAAGATAAACTCATTTATTTTAGTATTAATGGAGTAAAATTTGACACTATGGCCATGCTATCATAAATATCTTCAGTCTGATCAATAAGACTGATAGCTTTTTTCTGTGGTATCTGTCTGGATTTCTATTAAACCACGGTGACAAGTGGAATATTATCCCCAGCATGTGTTTTCCAGTGAAGCAGAGGGTCAGTAGAAAGTGTATAGTAAGGAGAAGACAGTTTCTAATTTCTTTTTCAAATAGCTTCAGCAACCTTGACATAATTATCTGTAGAATGTTTTGTGTTGAGCATAGAGAACTCTTTTTGGTAGTCAGGAATCTTCTTCCTTTTTTTTTTGGTCTCAGGGAAAAAATAATCTTTAGGAGATCTTGGGCTGAAGGATTTATGTTGACAAGAAATTTTACATCAGTTTTCAGGAGGATGGAATGACTTAAAATGATCTGTGGGAGGGAACACACAGATAATTCTGGGATTATGGTAGAGAAAGAGAGATTGATAATAAAAGCTAGGAAAAAATGTGTGTTTCAAAAACAGCACAGTTTGAAAAGCAATACAATTTATTATTGTTTTATTTTAATTTCTAAATGTTTCTGAAGCAATCTTAAATTGCAAAGAAGTTGTAAATACAGTACAAAGACCTTTTATTTTTATAACCTATTTGAAATTCAGTTGCAACATGATGCCCTATCTCCTCTGAAGACTTAGAGGAGTGTATTTCTTACATAGTATAATAACCAAAATCAGGAAATTAACATCAATGTTATGACCACCCCACCCGAATTTTGCCAATTGTCCCGGTAATGCCATTTGGAAAACCCTCCAACCAAGAATTACGCGGTGCCTGCAGTTGTCATGTGTCATCAGTCTCCTTCAAACTGGAGCAGTTCTCCAATCTTCCTGGACTTTTTATGACCTTGGCACTTTTCAAAATTACAGGCCAGTTGTTGTGCATGATACTCCTCAGTTTGGAATTGCCCCGTGTTTCCTCACGACTGGATTCCGGTTATCCGTCCTTGGCAGGAACAGCCCTGAAGTGGTGTCGTGTTCTCCTCGCGGCCTATCAGGGGCACACAGTTTCAGCTGGACCCACCGCTGGTGGGGCTCACTGCATCGCCTGAGGAAGATGGGCCAGCCTTCTTCCCTGGAAAGCTACCCTCTTCCCTCTTTGTGATTAACAGGCATTTTGTGGAAGAGATATGCTAGGTTATTTAAATAAATCCTTCCTCATCAAACTTCAATTTATTCATTTATTTTATTATATGAGTATGGCACAACGACATTCAGTTTTATCCAGTGAGTTGGAATTCATTGCTGTCGTTGCTTATTTTGATGCTTTCATGGCCCCAGACTCGGCCAGAGGAAGCCCCTTCGGTCCTACTTCTGGGTCTTCCTGATGCACCTCCACTGTCATCCTTTCTGGACAAGGAGATATGTCACATGTATCTTGTGCTCTTCCTGCTCCATTCCTAGAATTAACCATTTCTACATTCAGTACTGACTCTTTTTAGTGCGGAATGGCATATGTAGAAACCAAGATCAAGGGTAGCACCAATCCCAGGCCCTCTTAGTGGGCAGAGGTAGGACTGTACCTCTGTGTGTGTGTGTGTGTGTGTGTGTGTGTGTGTGTGTACACACCCACGTACATATTCATATCTGTAGTTATTCCCATGACGACGTGTCTGTCCAACATCTGTATCTGCCTGCCTGTCATCTGTCTGTCATCTGTCTATCATATCTTTCTGTTATCTATCCATCATCTATTATCTATCCATCATCTATCTATCCATCCATCCATCCAATTTATTTACCTACCCACAACTCACACTGATGCCTCCAATTCTAATCCAAAACCACAGGGTTCATTCTATTTTTCTTCCTTTCCATATTTGTAACTCTCTTCTCTGATGATGAGAAATCTCTAGCTTCTGTCATCTTTAATATATTCATTTATTGGGACACTCCCCTGTATGTAACCATTCTTCCATTGCCCTCCTCTCCTCTGCAGGGATGTCCTCCCCCTGTCCACTCCAGCCCTTTGGGCTGGCCTCCCTCCCCTGTAGATGCCCCTCACCCTGCCCAGGTGGAAGCCCATCCCACCCACTGGGGCTCTGACACTGGGCCCCATCTCCCTCCGGGTCCAACATCCCCTCTGGGCCCCCAGCGCTCCCCTCCTTCCCGCCCCACCTAGTGCATTTCCCGCTGCATTGTCTGGGAAGGGCCGGGAAGAGCCAGAGCGAGAGGAACTGGAACTAAAGCAAAGCCATGAAGCAAATTATTTCCACCGTGAAGGACAGGATCTGGGGTACGGAACTCGGTGGCTTGCTTTGCAGCACTGCCCTAGATCTGACACACCTGGACGGCTGATTCCAGCTGTTTGCTGGAAAAGAAATACCGAGGTATTGAAAAGAAACGCTAAATGCCGATATTAAGATGTGATGCTATTGAAAATATTCGGGGTGCTTGTGAACCCCAGAGAGCCACTACAGGCTCTGCAGGGAGCCATGAGGGGCAGAGGAGACGCGGAGAAAGGTGCTAGTGACACTGAGGCTCTTGCAAATACCACGCCGATGGAATAAACGCTGCCATGGGAGAGAAACGAAGGGATTCAGCTGACCAGTAATCTAGTTCCGGGGGAGACTCAGATTCAGACCAGACTCAGGGCTCCTCGGCTGTGTCCTCTGACAGCCCTGAGATGGGGGACCGCCACCGGCACCTGCTCTCTCCAGCCCCCTCTGTCCTTTGCAGCACTCTACACCTACTGACACCCTGCGTTCCCCGCCGGAACGTCGACTGAGCGATAAAAGAAAGTGAGCCTTGCTTACTGCCTTATCGCCAATGCCTAGCAGAGTGCCTGGCACGTAATAGTTGCTAACTAAAATTGTAATGAGCAGGTGGATGAAAAGGAAACCAGGGAGACGGCAAAAGTCCATTCCTATCATCGTTTATTTTGATGCTGATAGAAAGCAGTTAAGTCTCAGCAAGGGCCGCATGGAGCAGTCTTCAAACAGTGACCTCCAAGTAAAACAAAACAGAAAGGAGGAGCACAGGGATTTATAAGAATGAGAAAATGATGGAGAGAATGTTGGGATAAGAGTAACCTGGGGTCTTGGTTCTAAAACGGCGGTGGGGAAACGGGGTGGGTACACGTGCAAAGCCCAACAATGGACTCCTCTCTCTGCTCGGTGAGAGGGTGTTTCTCACACCCAAGACCTCGAACATTTGTCAAGCAATTCCCGTAGCCAAAAAGACTGCAGTGACCACAGAGCTTTGAACAGATTAAATATCTGAGAAAGAAGATGGATTAAAGCATTAACGAGAGGGGCAAGGCTCATTATGCCAAGTCGACTCAGAAATGAATAATGATGAAATGTAAGGGCGCTCCATTCAAACCACGTCTGGACCCGTGAGAGGTCAAACATACAGAAACGGTATTTAAGTATCATAAACATATGAACACCACATATCAACACTAAGGGGATGCCACCAAAACAGTGCTTAGAAAATTTGTTATCCCAAATCCTTGCATTTGTTAAAAAAAATAAAAGCAATGAAAAATAGGTCAGGTTAAAAGCGGTGAAAACAGATTTGACTCAGGAACCCCTCGCAGTAGGGCAGAGAGTTGCTGTGCATCTGCGCAGAGGTGACCTGGACATTTTAAAGCAAGAACGAGGGAGAGGGGAGAGCTGGGGAGAGCTGAAGGAGTGAGAAGGTGCAGAGGGTGGCGTGTGGACGCGGTGAGGTGGGCTGTTCGCGGTTCTGTTAGGATCCCATCCTCCCACAAGGGCTGGGGACAGAGCCCCTGCCTTTCCCCGATGATTCCATTTCAAAGGAATGGCTCTCTTTATGTCCTTGAGAGCGAACTCCTCAGCTGTAAGAGACAGAGACAATCCAAAGCCCTCTTTAGCGCATGCTCTAAGAATGGGAGGTCAGGGCCTTTATGTCAGGTGTGGCTGGAACCAGGAGTCAATTCTCCTGGCAGCCTTGAGCTGTCTCAGGCGGGCACGTTAAGGAGGGCTGGGGTCATCCTGGGGACAGGGCCACATGCTGCTAGAGGCCACGCCAGAGTTTGGTCATCTCTTCGGGCAGAAGTTTAGACAGAGTGGTTATAAGCAGAGAGTTCCGTAGTTCTCAAAACAAGCACATGGCAATTCTAAGTAAGGTTTTAGCATGTACGATCTGCATTGAAAGAATAATACACTATCCTGAGTACGCAGAGCAAACGTATCACATTAATACTAATATTTATTAAAATAACACAGTTCTGTCTTACCTACTGGTATTCAGCAAGTGCAGAGGAAGGCTGCCAAGGTGTGTCAGAGCGGGCTGTGAAGTCTTCCGACGTGTGTGCAGGCCACGGTTATCTCTGTGTCTCTGTACGTAGTTGAGAGATACATCAAGGCACACTTTACATTCTGAGAAACTACAAATGTGAAAGAGGAACATAACTATCTAGACATGAAAGTGAGCTATTATTTGTGCCTAATTACCCAAGGCAGAAGGAATAGTCAACGCATATAATACCAGCTTTGTTGTACGCTCTGTTGATCACACTTTTACGTGCCGTGCATGCCGTGTGGTTGTCCACTCACGGCTGTCTATAAATTAAAGGGTATAATATGTACTATGAGTCAAGTGACGTGTCCTACTGACAGTGGATTAATAGCATCATAACTTTATAAGAAGAAATTTTATATAGCCACATTGTACATAACATGTGATCTATAAATAATTGATGTATCATATTAGTATAGTCTCAGCCTCTGCATAAATTTGACATTAATAAATTTTCCTCCTTCTGTGACTAGCAGGCACAACCAAAAAATGCAGTTAGGAGAATGAGAAAGGAATCTATAAATACCAATAAGGTCATTATTTGTGGGCTCGTGAATGTTTTCTCTGTGTGATTTTTAAATTCAAATCAAGTTGTGGGCAAGTTAAAGATCATTAAACAACCATTCAAAATACAAAAAAGCTGCAGCAATTTTTATTTTTACAGAAAGTATAAGTTGTGTATAATAAAATGTACAGATTATAGGGATACATCTGAGGAGTTCTGACACTGCCTTAGCAGCGTGTAAAACATTTCCATCACGCTGGAACGTTCTTTCCCATCCTTTCCAACCAATCGACACCCCACCCCAAGGCAACCACTGTTTAGACATTTATCACCATGGCTTAGTTGTCTAATTCTAGCGCTTCTTATAAATGGAATTATATAGTTTGTATTTTTTCATCTATGACTTTGCTCAACATAACGTGTGTGAGGTTCCTCTATGTTGTTTCTTGTGTCAGCAATATGTTTTTCTTTTTCTTTAATCACTTTATTTTTTTTTTTAATCACTGAGTGGCATGCCACTGCATAAAAATAAAATTTGTTTATTCACAGGTTGATGGATAATTGGGTTGTTATCAGTTTGGGGCTGAATAAAGCTAATGAATACTCATATACAAATATTTCGTGGGCATATGTTTTCTTTCTTTTCGGTGAGTGCCTAAAAATGTAATTTTGGGGTTCACATAGTAACTGTATGTTTAAGAAACTACCAAATAGTTTTCCAAAGAGCTTGTACCATTGTCTACTCACTGGCAGGGCATGAGAATGGGGTTGTTTCACTGGAGGACCTGCGCTTCGTGACGTCGGTCTTTTAAATCTTAGCTATTACAGTGTAAGGCAGTGGCATCTCCTTACAATTTTAATTTGCACTTCCTCAATGGTAAGGGGGGGTGTCTTTTTATATATTGGCTGTTCACGTAACTTCACTTTTGGGGGTAAAATGTCTTCTCAAGTCTTCACCATTTAAAATATTTGGGTTGTTTTATTTTTTATTATTGAGCTGTTGGAGTTTCCTGTGCATTCTAGATATAAGTCCTTTATTAGATTATGTGTGGTAAATATTTCCTCCATACTGAATCTTAAGAATGGTGTTGGCACCTTAAGTGTACTGTAGCACTTAATTTTCGTGCTATCCCCCTGATGGAGGTACTTTTATGCAGTGCATTTTGCTGGCATTTAGAGACTCGGCTGGGCATGTACCATGGCAGGGCTAATGTTTAAAGCCAGGTCTTTCTGACTCCCAAGTCTTGCTTGTTTATGCTCATGTGTTTGTTGTGATTTGTTGTATGTATTTGGGCTGATGTGAACTACTAGTAAACAGTGAGTTATTAATTCTATAGTGACATTTTTCTCTTCAGTAAGCTTTGGTGTCCTTATAAACTTTCTGGTGAAAAGTCCATAGAACATAAAGAAGAAATTATGGAACTGGGGGACCCCACCCACATTGTGATCAACACTTTAGTAACTTCATTGATTAGGCTAAATAAACAGCCCCAACATCTTCCCATCCTTTCTCTTTTTAAACATTTTGTTTCTCATTGGACTGTTTCATGTGTATATATGTTGTAGTGAGTCATTTGAGGTCAAAGATTATGACTTACAATTCTCTATAGCACATTACATTTTCATAAATATGTGTCGAGTTCTTTGCTGTGCTTCCTACAATTTATATAATCAAGATGTAAAACAATCCCTGTATAAATAGGTTGTAAGTGCCCTGTTAAATCTGGCTGTGAAATACTAAGATTTTAAGT